TCCTACCCACAATTATAAAACGCCACAACCAATATCTTGAAGAGAACATGTGTGAATGACCGAAAAATGACAGCACGTGCACAAAATTTACTGCGCATTTCATAGGCGCGTGTGGAAATTTGTAACCAATCACATCGCGTTGTTCGATACCAAAGATGCTATACGACTGATTACAGAGTCTAGCTACGGGCAGCACATTTAGTAGAGAACGAAAGAGGCGCGAGGTTTGAAGTTATCAGGATTTGGACGCAGCGTACTTTCCAGGATGTCACCCTTATTCTGGAAGACAGTACCCAATATTTCGGTTGAACTTGCTGCCTCCATCAACTGGGTAGACTGAAGATGACGCTACACGAATCTTCAGTGAGAAAGACGATTTGTATAAATGTTATGAATTCCATGATACATCCACCAAAATATAATTGAAATAAAATATTTTCTTTTCTGGTCACAAAACATCAAAATTTATTGATAATTTAATATAAAAATTCACTACACCATAGACATGCAAGAACGAGGTTGTCTAAGGACCCTTGAGTTGAAAATGGGGGCAATATGTTGCTCTGAACATCAGTACACATTGACCAGACTACATGGGGTCACATTGCAGAAGATGGTACTATTCAGTCCCGTTATAAAACGCTTTCACTGGCCTAAATGTAGGGTATAAGAGGTTGGAGAAAAATGCATAATGAGGAGCTTCATAACTTGTCCTCTTTGCCAAGTATAATACAAGGAGGATGAGATGGGCAGGGAATGTAGCATGAATACAGATGAAGGCGAATGCATATAGAATATCAGTGGGAAAGCCAGACGGAAGCCACTAGGAAGACCAAGATGTAGGTGGATAGTATTAAAATGGATATTAAAGACATAGGATGGGGTAGCATGGAGTGGATTGATCTGCCTAAGGATAGGGATCAGTGAAGGGCTGTTGTGAACATGGCAATAAACCAGGGGCGTAGGGTACATGGATGTGGTGGAAGCATTGCTTCCCTATAGAAAAGCAACCAAGAACATTTCTGGCAATTTTTCAATTTCAAAAAAATATTTCATACTTCAAAATATTAATTAATCTGAGAACATATATTACATATAATGAGAATATTGCAAGTTTTAATGTGTTACATAGACAATTTATCAGGATAGATCAGTTATTTTCTTCCAAAATGCAGGGAAATTTAAACTGCAACACCCGCGGAAGCAGCAGGTCTTTCGCTTCCACCCTCCCCTGGGTTAACTGGCTGACTCAATGTCAGTGTTGTGTGTAAGTGAGCTATGCGCTATGGTATGCTACCAGCTTCGTGCTTCCAGCAATGTTGTCAGATGTAAGGCACAGTTTGCAGTAGAATAATCTGTGACCTTGCAGTTAAGCGTGCTTACTAGAAATTCGCAGAACCAGGATAGGTTGTCATCACTGGCTTTGATGAACATTGAAAAGTCCTTCCTAAACAAACTGCAGTCCAAACCCATTTTTCTAGATGAGGTTATTGATCTGTTTGCCAAGAAAAACAGAAGAATCGAGCTGAATTATAAACAATAAAGTAAGCATTAATTATATTCCAGGTTCACAGCCCTCTCATTTGATGGCTATAAAATTGTGTTGATAATTATGTGTTATTTTAATATATTACCTTAAATTTAGAATACATATTAAACTATTAGCTGTTTTCTTTTAAATAGAAGATAGAAACTATAGGATATGTAGAAAAAATTTATATACACGTATATAAAGTTGCTTCCCTGCTTTCGGTAGTCATGCTACGCCACTGCAATGAACGTTCAAGTTCCATAAAATGCTGGGAAATTCTTGAATAGCTGCAAAACTGGAAGCTTCTCAAGAAGAACTCAGCTCCATGAAGTTAAATAGTCAGTTCAGTTAGTTACCATTATATATTGAATAGCAAATGGTGGATGTACTATGACATTAAATGCTATTATTTGTTGCTATTAATATTTTTAAGTTAAGATTTGATGTTACCATGGTGATGTATTCATACTGTGGTCTTCTAGCTTATGACTGCATAGTCTGGTACAGGAGTACTCAGACTCCATTTTCTACTTTGAAGATAGAGGCAGTATGTTCCTCCCAAATGTTGGTACCCACCCAACACCCTACATGCTGTGACAACACAACAACTTGTCTATTCTCAGGAAGCATCTTACTGGCTGCAGTCACACAGGTTGCACTTATATGAAACCTCTCACGCATGATGTTGAATGGCACTGACTCTGACTGCTTTCATAACCACAAAGATGGCGGAGCTGTTGAAAAAAGAATAATGCCCACAAAGAAGGAAAAAACTTCATTCCAATATTTTTAAAATACATCCACTAATTCAGGTATAGCATCATATCAGGCACAGTACATTAAACAAGAACAAAGAGTTCCAGTTGTAAATGTGAGATGCCTTTTAGAGTTCTGAAGGATCTGACCTTGTAAGTGTCAATACCAACAGCATTACTATACTGAGGCCAGAGAAAGAAGTTATTCCAACTTATTCCAACTTAACGTGGGCTCCAGTGCTCACAGCCGTCAGGGTCCCATACCCCAGTATAAACCTAACCTCTCAAACATCAATACATAATTTCCCATCAGTAACAGGTATAAACACGCCTGAAATGGAAGCCTTTCATGCCCTAGAAGAGATAATTCTGGTAAAGCCGCCATGAGCACTTGTGTCATGATGTCACACTAGTAGAATGAAACTTTCAAGGGTTCCCAGACCAGAATTTTTATGAGAAACCCAACCCCACTTCCCCAATATCACCATTTCCATTCACTCATTAACCAATGATTAACACACTTTACAATGCCATTTCCAAAATAAACTCCAATAAACTAGAAATACAAAGACCAACATTTACAACGCTCATAGAACAGTCTTCTATGATGTATGTAAATAATCAGCCCAATTCTCAGCCTTACAAGCAATCTTCTTTAAACTAATGGCAGACAGATTTAAAAAAATGCCCAACCAACAATAATTTCAGATATGTTCATATACCTTCCAACAGCAGCTTCATGGTTTTTCAATCTACATCATCATCTTGCATATGATTTGACCACTTTATCAATCCTCTTTCACACACAGACATTAAAGAACACCTCATCTCAACTCAACAATGGTAATAATCCACAAGAACAGAGGATTCAGAGGATAATCAGACCAGGAGCCACAATTCCAACATCTGAGACACCCGCTGACAACAAACATGCCATACCATCACTCACACAAAGAAAATGAAATACTTTCCATTTCGAACAACATTCAGTAATTACCATTCCAGAGTCCAATATGTGGTTGCATATTGTGACCATGTCCCTTGAGGTCACCTAAGACCTTATCAGCTTCATCTCAAATTTAAGTACACAAAGTTCCTACAGCCTGCACCACAATTACAAATACTGCTAACCTGGTTCACGACAAGACTAACATATGCATGAAATGAACAAAAGCATCCAAAATGAAGAAAGCTCATATTATTATTACTGCATTAACCACCTTGTGCATCTTCCAGTACGGGTAACATTCTGTCAGTAAAGTAAAAGTAAAGCTATCCCTGTAACAGGCCGTGAAGGCCCATAGGGTTGTGAGACGTCGAGGCTCCCACATTCTCTAGACAATAGGCTCACGGACGGCGGTAAGGTTGTCAGCCTTACGCGCCGGCCGCGCTTTACTCCCCAAGAAAATTATTTAATTAATTCCCGGTACTCATTTCTGTTAGAGGCTGAGTCGACCCCAGGGCCATAGTGCGGCTGGAAGGATTAGGTCAATTGAAAAGTCTAATGATCTCATCAAGAATCGAACCCGCGACCTTCCGGCTTGGTATTCATAACGACAGAGAAGACGTATTTATTTATTTACTGTTATTTAAAGACGCTGCATCTGATACAATACAGCGTCCGCAGAAACGATAATCAGTGAGGCTGGAAACTTCGGCAGATAACGAAGCTAGTTCCAGTGCGTCAAGCCGCCATAATTATCGTCGCCAACAGCGATACATGTAGCAGCTGAGTCACGAGGCTACCGTGTAATTTTCCTCTGGGTTTTGCTAATAATCTCGAGTGTCCTGCTAGTTCTGAAGAACCGCCAGTGAATAATGAACTAGAAGCGAACATGGCCTACTTTGAGTTACATTTGGAGAAACTAAGGAAATCCGCAAAAAAAAAAACTGGATAGGCGATATCCCCCGTCGAGATTTGAAAGTGTCACCTTCCTAAAACAAGTTCAATTCTTAAGCCCTTGTGCCAACTTCTTACAATTCTGGATTTTTTTCAATTGACCTAATCCTTCCGGCCGCACTATGACCCTGGGCTACACTCAGCCTCTAACAGACATGAGTACCAGGAATACGGCCGGCACGTAAAACTGACCTCACCTCCATCTATGAGCCGACTGTCTAGAAAATGTGGGAACCTCAACATCTCACAACCCTATGGGCCTCCACGGCCTGTTGCAGGGACACCTTTACTTTTACTTTTTTCACTTAACATGAAGCTGCAGGTAGTAGTTCCTTCGAAACGTTGGTGACCATATACCAAACTACATGACGTCATAACCCCAAATGACGGGTTCGTGCTAGGAGGAATAACTATGAGGGAGGCCCGGATTAATTTACCGATGAAAATGAATCTGACCAGGTGCATGCCTGTCCTTGACTCCAGACGATCAATTTCATCATCTTCTGGAACCCAATTACCTTCATATCTACCGAGGTTATGTACCCACCATGTTTCTGTTTCCATCCGAAAATTACTGCGTGATTTATAATTATTAATTCGGGTACTTTTCCGAGTGAATCACCCTGTAGCTCCCGACACGAAACAGACTTTGCATCGCGGTTTTCGCAAGAAGACAATCTTCATTTTATTGCACGGAGATTTGGATGGTGTTACGTGCAAACATTGCTATCTGTGGCGTCAGTGATAATTTAGAGCTTCACGTCTAGGAGCGTAATCCGAGCGTAGGCCAACAAGGTCTGTCTGTATATCTGCAAAAGGAACGCCAAATTATCCCATTACAGTTCAAATTAACATAGGAGAGCTTCATGTCTGGATCAACACGTGAGATGCTCTTCATCTGTCTCCTACTGTTCGCCATTGGGCAGCGCGCATGCGTGGAATCAACTTTAAACAATCGCCCGATTATAGGTATAACGACAATCTTTAGTGCACCAATATTGTTTGTATTTTAAATGTTATTATCATTGTATCTTTGTTTCAAAACTAAAATCAATAAAATTATGTAATTATATAAGTTCTACACCGCAGTCAAGGAGGATGAGGTGGGCAGGGCATGTAGCACGAAAGGGGGAGAAAAGGAATATATATAGGATATCGGTGGGAAAGCCATAAGGAAAGAGATCACTGGGAAGACCAAGGTGTAGGTGGGTGGACAATATTAAAATGGATCTTGGAGAGATAGGATGGGATGGTATGGATTTGATTGATCTGGCTCAGGATAGGGACCAGTGGAGGGCTCTTGTGAGCACGGTGATGAACCTTCGGGTTCCATAAAGTGCTGGGAAGTTCTTGAGTAGCTGCAGAATTTGCGGCTCCTCAAGAAGGGCTCGGCTCCATAAGTAAGTAAGTAATTTTGCAAGTACAGAAAATTCCCGATCATACATGCTCGGATCATCCGGTTTGCGGAATATTTTGTCGCGGTTTTAACCTCGCGGAGCTCCTAACCGAATTCGTCCCCTCCATGAAACAACTCGGGAACTGATGGAACAATTTTCGCACGAACTCATACTGGAGAATCTTACGATAGGGTAATTTTCTTTATTGCTAGTGGGTGGGACTAAGTCCATTGTACTGCGGCCACTTCTGGCCTCTTGTACCAGCCCCAGATGATAGGTGAGGGTGATTGTGGAGCAATTGGTGGAATGAAGATTGGCAGGGGAAACCGAAGTACTCGGAGAAAACCTGCCCCAGCGCCACTTTGTCCACCACAAATCCCACTTGACCAAACCCGATATCGAACCCGGGCCGCCGCGGTGGGAAGCAAGCAACTAACCGCTTCAGCTATGGCGCGGCCCTATGATAGGGTCATAATTTAGGTAGGAAATTTTAACCAACATTCTACATGAAGACCTACACCTGCGCTTTTGTGAGCAGCTCATTAAATATTTATGGAAGCGGAAAATATTTCGGACAAAAGATGCAGACAAAATGAAACCCATATTTTCTGTGCGTTGTACTTATCCCGTAAATCTTACGGTATTCGAGATAATTAAGTAAATCTCATGCTATGCATGTATTTCCAAGTCTCTGGATTATCCGTGTTTATCCGCGTATTTATTTGCACGCATAATCGGGAGTTCACTGTATGTATTTTAATGTTCTTAATAACATATTTCAACCACCCTATATGCTTCGACATAATTTTTCACTACTTATTATTTTACAGTGCTTTTAGTATCTAGGTTATACAGAGGTATTCTGTAATTTTCAGAAGCGTTAATCAAAGTCCATAAATGGAAGGATGGTGCGTTTAAGCAAGCTCATTGCTAATACTGCTAATCTGTGTGCCACTAGGAGTACTTGCTCAGGAGTTGATTATGGAAAGCGACCCACAGCTAGACCCTCGTGTTAGCTACATCGCGGCTTCGTACGTCAAGTTCTTGGAAGGTGCTGGAGCCAGGGTTGTCCCGGTCATGTAAATATCAGTTTGCATACTTAAGTAACTATTTCCTTGTAACCTACTCAACTAGAGCGACAAATATCACAGTGAATGCATTATCTCTATTTCACTACTGAGTATTTCTCAGCGTGTCGACTCAACGACACATGAAAACATGCACGTGAAGAATTATATCTTCTGGGACATAACCGATGTTTCGGAGAAACAAATCTCTTCCATCATTAGAAGAGCAAGTCAAGCGAAACAGACAGCAAGCAGAAGATATAACACTTCATAGCCACTGCTGTGAGAGCATCAGATCCACTGTACTTCCACATGTTTGCCAAAAGATGGCAGAGTATGCATAGTTCCACTGTACTTCCATATGTTTGCCAAAAGATGGCAGAGTATGCATAGACATGTGATCATCTTGGTTATGACACCCTGTACTATTGTAGGCGAATTCCGACATTTCGGAAGAACATGCTGCCTCCATCTACAGGATTGAAGTGTGTGGGTCCGTGAATTGGCTCGGTTATATCGTCAGGTTAAAGGAAAAACGGTCATGAGACCCAAGGGATAGGGTAAAGAAAGAGCATGATTCAAGCCAATGTCAAACCGAGCCAATTCCAGAACTTATACAGTTCAACTCTAAAGATGGAGGCAGAATGTACTTCTGAAATGTCGGTATCCGCCTGCAAGACTATACGGTGTCAACCCAGAGGACCAGAATCTGAACAATCACTGCAGTGAAAACCTGAAAATATACGTATGTTTGGATCGGGGGGGGGGGGCTCGTATACTATGTCTAAAGCATCTCTGAGGATGCATCATCACCAGATGGTGAATACGTCGTCACAAGAGAGTTGCTGGAATTAATTTTCAACACACGACGGGAACCAAAATCCCCATACCGGAGATCTCGTTGAACACACAGGGACATTTGTTCCGTAAGGTTGGCTACTGGAGGTGTCACGTATTAAACAGACAGTAACGATGAAATACAGAAACAAAAGAACGTCAATTTAAACAAAATTATTATTGAAAGGGTTAAGTCCTATTTTGAAGGAGGGAATCCTCAACGGAATGCTGTATCTAAAACATATAGGAATTGTTTAATTTTCGAAGTGATATTTCTTCTAGTTGTTTAATTTAAACCCACGTGTTGAGAAAATATTATATCCCGGCTACAGATGTGGCGCTTTAGTAGCCAGGCAAGTGCTGAATCCACCAAATGAACTAACTAAATGTTAGATAATCAGTGGAATACTTCCAAGGTAGAAAAGGTAAAACTATCCCTGTATCAGGCCTTGAAGGCCGACAGAGTTGTGAGACGTTGAGATTCCCACATCGGATCACAGCGGTGAGGCTGTCAGCCTTAGACCCGGCCGCCCTTTACCACCAGGAAGATTCCTGGTACTTATTTCAGTTAGAGGCTGAGTCAACCCCATTGCCACGGTGTGGCTGGAAGGATTAGGCCAGTTGAAAAATCCAATGACCTCATCGGGAATCGAACCCGCGACCTTGCGACTTGTAGCACAGTGCCTCAATCAACTACGCTACCGCGTGCACCTAAGTTATAATTTATATATTTATTTATATTAAAATAAATACATTTCCATAATTAACGTTTTCCTTTTTTCACCAGGATCAATAAAACGGACGATTACTACAAAAACATCGCCAGTTATGTGAACGGGTAAGTACAAATGCCGGAGACACGTATCACGATGATATACTATATGAATCCAGTCCGTACCTCAAAGGAAACACACTACGTCTCCGCTACAAAGCCCAACCGGTTAATGCTGTTTAGGGAAACAGTCGCTGTTTATTGTGAGAACCATACGGAACACACAAATACACTCTGTGAGCAGAAAACTCAGTCCGTGCCTCACAGGAAACACATTACGTCTCCGGTAAAATGCCAAACCGGTTAATGCTGTTTAGGGAAACAGTCGCTGTTTACTGTGAGAACCATACGGAACACAGAAATACACTGTGTGGGCAGAATGCAGAGTTCCTGATAAACATAATTACACCGTGCTTTAAATTAGTTTTTTCAAAAGAGGAAGCCGCGGTCTTCCAGGGGCAACCGATAATATTAACAACCTAATTATCATACTGTAAACTGATAAGGAAAGGAGAAATCGAATTAGAAGCATACAGTATAACAAACAGGATGTCCTTCCTAGGCATAATAAAGGTTAATTCGCAAATATATTTTTACATACTGATACACGTGGCATATACGAGAAAGTAGTGGATTTTAATGGATTTACACGTTTTCAGTCCCCCCGCCCCCCGCCGAATACGAATAAGTGGATTCGGAATTCAAGAGTTTCCCTCATAGGTCGAATCATCGTGAATATTAACATTTCAGCTGTTTTCAGATGGGTTCCTAAACAGAAGGTTGAATTACTCGAAAACGGTTGGAGAGACGTTCAATAAGTTTCAGTAATTTACGGAAATTTATGAAACTGCGTGGGTGTTATCCTCAGGAAAATAACGGTATGCGCACGAGGGGCCCAAATAATTTTACCATGCGCACGTGTCCTGGCTTGTACACTCAGAAACCAAAAATGGTCTACAGAGCAAAATTTTACTTCGCATGAGTTTCAATCATATATGAAAACGCATGTGGCATGTTTTTGTACTTTTTTTTTAATTTCTTAATCTCATTTCAAACCATTCCTTATCTGCTCACGGGCGTCAGAAATTCTTAGTTCAGTCACATACCAAAACGGTAGGGCAATCACCGCTTCTAAGTGATTAAGAGGCTGCTTATACCTGTATTTTCCTACACAGAATTTTATTACCTGGCGGGGGAACATATTTTGACACACCCGGTGGATATGCAGAGGCAGGACAAAAGTTATATGAACTGGCAAAAAAGATGAACGAAGCCGGTGATTTCTTCCCTATCTTGGGGATCTGCCTTGGATTCGAACTGCTCACATATCTTGCATCGGACAACGTGGAACACCGTGCGTCGTGTTACAGCTATAACGAAGCGCTTCCACTTGAGTTCAAACGAGGTAAGTCGAAATCAAACTCCATTTAGGCATTTACTTTGAGGGTACGTCACACATTTAGTAGCCAACCTTACGGAAGCAAAGTCCTCCGTGTGTTCAGTGAGATCTCCGGTAGAGCGCGTTTGATTCTAATCATATTATCACGTGGTTGTGACTACACACAGGGTTTGGGTTGATAATTGGATTTATTTAACGCTTATGACTCGTAACTACAAAAATAATTATACCAATCACAATCATTTACACAATCTATAGATTACTATAACTCCAGCACACATAAAGTCTTGTCTGTTCACTAGTCGTTGCTAGGTAGCGGCTGCTAACAACGCAAATAAAGACTCTAACCTCCGGCTCCCAGACTTCCGACTGTCTGTCGAATCAAAACTGCCTTTCTAATAATGACGTAACGACTTGCGTACCTATTTGGTGATCACGAAACGTCGAAGATATCTTTAGACGCATTCTTCATTTACTGTTTCAGGATCATTCAACAGTAGATTATTCGGCAGCGCGCCCAGTGACATCATAGGAATCTTAACAAAGGAAAACGTCACAGCCAATTTTCACCGATACTGCTTAACTAAACAGGTATGAAACATGAAGAGATCAGAACCTTGAGAATTTGTCTACCGAGTCCTACGGAGCCAGGATAGATCAGTCGGTATAGCGAATAGCTGTGGGCTAGACGGCAGAGGGGTCGGAGTTCAAGTCCTGGGAGAAACAAGAGAATTTTCTCTTATCCACAAGGTCAAAACCGACTCTGGGACCCACCCAGCCTCCTATCCAATTGAAACGGAGGCTCTTACTCGGGGAGGTAAAGCGGTCGGGGCGTGAAACTGACCACTCACCTCTATCTAATGCCGATGCCAATAACACGTGGATCTATATGCCCTCATGGTGTAGTGCCTAATCATTTAAGCGTAGGGAAACTTTCCCCTACCAATTCTTACGTAACTGAGCCTTATTCTACAGCGTTGCCAATTGGGTACACTGTGTTAGATGGTAAGATGGCTGACGACTGATAGATTGAAAACAATTTGGAAGGAATTGGACATGAGCTAATTGAGCTACCGAAACCGGTATTTATCTGGAGGGATCAAGGAAAGTTTCGAAGTATTTCAGACAGGATGGCCAGTGTCGCCTTCGGGATTCGAACCAAGCATCACACTAATAGGAGTCTCTCTATTGTCTTTCTTTGTGTGGGGTTGGGCTGACACTGAGTCGACTTCGCACACCGGCCCTACTGCACCAGCCCTTCGTGACAGATGTGTGTGGGGCAGAAGCTGAAATAATTGTCAGGGGAAACTGAAGTACTGGAAGGAAAACCTGCCAAAATGACACTTCCGTCCACCACAAATCCCACATGACCTCATCTGGGTCGCCACGATGGGAAATCTTCCGTCTTGAGGGAGTACTACTGTGGAGCGTGAGTTCGAGACCAATGGCAGTCAATTGTGAATACGGCAATGAAGTGCCATAAATCGTTGGAAAATCTCTCCAATAGCTGCGCAACTATCAGCTTCTTAAAAAGGAGGCAGCTGCACGGAGATAGTTATAGCGGATCCCACCTACGTGTAATAAATCAAGTCCCAACTCGGTTGGAAGAATGTAGCACTGTTGTCATATATTTCAACCCCAGATGCCAGAGAGTGCAGTCACAAGCATGCAACCATCTGAAAGCGAAAGAGTGCTCGCAAATAAAATATACAACTGGGAAGGCACAAAAACGTGATTCAGCCAATGCTGTTTCGAGGCGGACAGGAGGGGTCATTAAATCACGGTATGGGGCGAAATCGCTCAAACACTCAAGTCATCCCCTGACTCACGGTACCCGGATGTTCGTTGCCGCTGACCGTATCTTGTGAAATTTGAATGGAATGCAAAAATAAAAAGTATTTTTGCTCAAGAAAGAGAACGTGGAGCAAGTTCGCTCAATCAGTAACACTTGTCATTTGTATTTGGGAAGTGACTGGTTCGAATCCCATCCCGGGACACTGACTAACTTCACCGAGGTTCTCGTGGTGGTTTTCCAGAAGTTCTCGATACGAATTCTGGGATAGTATTTTAATTAAGTCACGACTACCTCCACATACTTCTCTCTTCGCCAATTCCTTGAGATAAGTTGTGGGATAGTACCATAAAATAGGCCACAACCGCATTTTTTCACATTCTTCCCATTCCCACAGTCCCTTGATGAAAATTCTGGGATAATACCATAAAGTCAGGTCACGACCACTTCATTTCAAAGAGTTGCCAAATCATTACTCACTGTCACACAGTCGATGCTATACAGTTGGGGCTAGCGAGAGTACAGACAAATTAAATACACCAAATCCTCGCTAATCCGGATTAATAAAACGAAAACAGGACTAGAAGACAACAAAAATACTTATAAAATAAATAAATTGGAAATTTAATAATACATACTGTGCCGATGAAAATAAACACAAAAAGATATCATTGCAACAATTTCTTCCTGTGTCAGAAGCTGACATCCAGGGTCTTCTTCAGCCAGCTCAAGCTAATCTTGCGATATTTTCTTGCGTGGTATCAGTCTCTCCAGATGCCCTCAACACAGTCTGAAACTCCTCTTGTTCCTAAATCCAATGTGTCTTTTAAAGTATGTACTCACCCGTGAACAGAACTGTTTATATTCGGATCCGGATTAGCGAGGGTTCGCTGTAAATTGCAAGGATATGTCGGGATTCTATAAGATCAGAAAAAGGTTACCAACGGCAGCCTACGCCAGGCTACCCTTCCTGGAACTCGATCACTTTCCTATTGCAATGTTTAAACTTGAACTGCTGATATGGCAGGCAGACGTCTGAAGCTCACGGCTGGCTTGTATCTCTATCACAATGACTGGGCTTTATCTTACGTATTTACGTAGTGTCGAGTAGAAAATTCCAGTGAACTAAGTTTGAAATGTGAAGATGGGAAGTTTCAGATAACAGGCTACTTGCTGCAGTTGCATTTAATAAGGTAAATCGTGGTTAATTGAAAGTTTGGGTTAATGACGTAGCAAACAGGTTATAACACTGAAGAAAGAGAGGGGAAGTAACAGAATGAGGAAAATAACACAATGAAAATGTGCATAATATTTACTCTTCACTATAATCATTATTAGCATATAACACAGGGCCCATGTAATGCGCGTCGGATGAGGTAAAGCTATCCCTCTAACGGGCCGTGGAGGCCCATAGAGTTGTGAGACGTCGAGGCTCCCACATTTTATGAACAGTCGGCTAACAGATGGAGGTGGAGTCCTCGACCTTACGCACCGGCCGCGCTTTACCCCAGGAAGATTCCTGGTACTCATTTCTATTAGAGGCTGGGTCGACTCCACGGCCATAGTGCGGCTGAAAGGATTAAATCAATTGAAATATCTAGTAACCTTATAGAGAACCGAACCCACAACCTGCCGGTTTGTAGCATAGTGCGTCAACAAATTTTAGTCTGAAAATCTAAAGTTAAGAGGACTCTTAAGCGAGAGGAGTACAGAACGATAAAGCTATTTCTGTACGTAACTAATTAAGCACTACGCCATGAAGACGTACCGAGGAGTGGAAGTATAGATCCACGTATTCATGACCTGGGCAATGATTTGAGATCATTGGTCAATGAGAAAATAACATTAAACTAGAGCGTAAAGAAATATTTGAGGGTCGACTTGACTGGGAAAGCGTACGACTCCTGTGATTCTGCGCTATTTAAAATGAACACCCTGTAGAAATCTTGTGTTTCAGAATATGACGGCGCTAGAACTGAATGACGACTGGCGATTTATGACGACGAACGAAGATTCAAACGGCCTGGAGTTCATATCCACGTTGGAGCACAGCAGATATCCAATTTACGGGCTGCAGTTTCACCCAGAGAAGAATGTTTATGAATGGAGAAGGGATAAAAATCATCCCCACTCTGCAAAAGCCGTTCGGGTCTCGCAGTATTTTGGAAATTTCTTCGTAAATGAGGGTAAGAAAAATCCAGTAATCCCAAATGAAGCAGATTATACAGAATAGAAACGCTTTTTCTCGATACGTTCTATGCTCCGAATTCAATAATGACGTTCTTATAGTCTGTCTAAACCATTCCTGCGACTACGTCATACCACAAGTAGGAAACCTTACGGGAAAAACAAATCCCATATATTTTCTCCAGCAGCACTGTGGCCCTGGGGTCGACTCAGCCGCTAACAGAAATGAGTACCAGGAATCTTCCTGGGAGTAAAGGTCTGCCGGCGCGTAAGGCTGACAACCTCACTGCTATCTGTGAGTCGATTGTCTAAAAATGTGGGAGCCTCGACGTCTCACAACCCTATGGGCCTCCACGGCCTGCTACAGGGATAGCTTTACTTTTACCTTAACTTTTATGGGGATTATGGTCCCCATCGTATGTCGCAATTATAATCTAGCGACTTTCTAATGATGGCGGAACTGATTATGACCTAACATCAAAGATGTTTTAGACACAGTTTAACAGCAACAAATTTTCGTTGAATTTTCAACGCTCTCTGTGCTAGTGAATACATACTCGTAAAACTGTTCCCTTCTTTGCAGCTCGAAAGAGCGGGCATAAGTTTCCTGCGTCTGAGGAAGAAGAATACATGATCTACAAGCACCCAGTGAAATACACAGCGAACTACACAGTGTTCGAACAGTGCTACGAGTTTCCACTCTGACTGTATTCCACCTCAGAGTTATGCAGGGCAGCCTCGATAATCCGAACTGAAGCTCTCGACTGTTCGGAGAATCGAAACGTCCAGATCACCGAATTTAAAATAAAACAATAGTTAATTTTAGTAAAATTACACTTTAAAATGATTCTTAAGTAATTTTATAGACATACACAACCGAAAATTTGTCCGGAACTCGTGGAAGTTTCACTACACGCCGGGCTTGGGGCAAGGGGTAACCGAGTTACATTTCTCACCACCCAGTGAGGGGCAGGTCAATTAGTACACAGTATCATACTTCACAAAAATAAATTGTTACCCCGAGGAAATATAAAAATTATATTAAATTTATAATTTTTATAGATAAAATTAGACAAGCGCGAAGTAAATTCAGTTCACATCAATCCTATTTAATAATATAATCACATCCTATGCCTTGGACATCGAAATGATTCAGTTCCTTCAGGTTTTCCTACGAAAACATTATATTCATTTCTCCTGTCTATCAGTCGTGCTATGTGCACTGCCCATCTCATTCTCCTTCAACTGATAACTCTAATATGAATAATATTAGGGTTGAAGAAAGCAGTTTTCTGGGATTTGGCACCGTGTATATGTGGATA